AACACTATTTTGCAGCACTGAGTGCATCAAAAAGTAGTTCATTAATGGTCTTCATTCGTGACTTAAAGGCTAAACCTGAGGAATTAGAATTAGAATTATCACAGCTGTATAGCAAAACCATGTTCTGATAACATAGAAAATTGGTAGATTAAGATAACCTGGAACGTATTTAATCCAATTTAAAGCAGAACAAATATGTCAGGATACTAAGTGATATCCAGATTAACTAACAAGGTTTTGAAATGCTTCATCTTATTTTTTTAAATGACAATGCAACAAAGTTGTCATATGTTCAGTGGGGACACCTTATATCATTTATCCTGTGACAACAAACTGCTGAACCATTTGGTTGTTTGAAAAGAATTATTTAGGCCAAATTCACTCTCTGCATGTGGCACTGAGCACCCTAAATTGAAAGTACAAATGCCTGGATGGAAATGTAGCTTAATTCATCTGTTTGTTTATGCTGCTGACACACATAATGCTGTGGGAGGAACTTTACAGCTCTACAAAATCTAAATAAAGTAAAAGGCTTGATGAGAAAATAAAAAAGGCCACAAAGTCATGCACAAACTAAGTGAATATTTAACGGCATTTTGGGGTTTTTTCTTATTTTTAAATCATGTTGAAATCACTGGTGATACCACTTTAAGAACATGCTTTATCAAAGTAAATTTCATCTAGAAGTATCCACACACTTAAATCCATTATTAACTAAAAGTAACACCTTACATTTACATAGCACTTTACTGTTACTGAAGCAAGTTCACATACTTCATTTAATTTATTCCTCACAACAGCCCTGTGAGGTAGGCTGAACAAGTTACAATTATTTTACAAGTAAGGCAACAGAGGCCCAAAAGATGATAAATGATTTGTGTAGAGGTCATAGGTTTAGTGTATGGTGAAGCTAGGCAATTAATTTTAAATACTTTAAAAGATATGAGCCCAAAATCCTTTTTATATCATATCCAGAGATTTTTAAAGACTTGTGGCTTTGAATTTAAATTACTCCAAAACTTTAGCTATTATCTCTTATAGTATAAATTAGTTATAAAGTCGATTTTAAAGAGTCTCCCTCAAAAGGTAAATTAGACTCAATGCTTTGGTACCTTAGACATACTGGAAATGTTTTTTAAAAAAAAGTATTCTCATAGCCCTTATGCTCACCAAAAAGTTTCAATACTAACAAAAATGCCTTTTACAGCCACTTACAATTTGACTTATTTTACAATTAGTCAAAATTTAATAAGCTCCAAGCCGAAACATTCACCTACCTTCTGCCCTACATACTGTGAAATCTTCTACAAGGATTCCCAAGGATCAACTTATACTGAATGGGGTACCATAAGAAAAAAGCAACTTAAACTAACATAGCTTAAATGATTAAGAATCAGGTCAGGACCTTATATTGACTGAGAAATACTTTTTTTAGTTTAATAAAATAACTAGGTAGTCTGAGGAGAAAAAGCACGGTGGCAATTTCTGGGATTTATTTATAAGCCAATACTAACTTTTATTTGTCATGTCCAACGATATCTTTTCAATGAAGACAACATATACCAAATGTAATCCATTTAAACTCCAACTAATTCAAAATGCTTAGAGTATTCTGGTTAATAAAAATACTCCAAGTAACAAAGCTATCATATGTGACATATCAGGATCATAAATCACTTCAGAATGTGAATACTGTAAGATACACACAAAACTAAAACTATATTGAACATGAGGTAATCTTGCTGTGAAAATTAAGAAAAAACATTCATGATCTCTTATAATAATCAAGTGCCAGCATTATGAAATACACATTTAGGTTAAAAATAACAATTTTATGGTTGCCTGGATACTGAGTAAATTCATGCTGACAATACACTTCCCTAAAATATATATCCAGTGTAAATATAAAACCAAGGAAACCCATTTTATGTGACTGTATAAAAGTGAGCCAATTTTATATGCAATTAATTTGGATTTTTTTCTTAGCAAACTATAACAAATTTATTTTAAACTTCTGACTTATTAGCAAAACATTATTTTTAAGATACAAACTCTGTTATACCATTCAAAAGCAGCAAAAACTGTATGCACAGTAAATCAAACTTCACTAGTTTTGGTAATGTGAATACAAAGTAATCAAATTTTGACTGCCATATCAGACGTTCAAATAGGTGTTGTATGAATTAGCCAACAGATGGACACTGATCTGAGAAATGTTTTAAAAAACATAACTATGATAATTTGAAAATATCGTCAATTTTTCAAGCCTGAAATTACATATTTTATAAGTCTGCAACGTCCTCTTAAAATTAATAATCTTTGAAATAATTATTTTCCATATATATCCTTTTCCCATTTTTTCCAAAAGAAACAATGAAAATACATAATTAAGTATAATTATATGGAAAAAAGTATATAGAGAAAACCTAATCATTCTAGGTAAGTCATGAAGTAGAATATCTTAGTCAAATTAAAATATTTCATTACAAATACTTTTATTATTTGTATCACCAAGGGTCAGCCACAGAAAACTCAAATTGTACATAGTATTGTTCATGCTTTAATTTCATAAATAAAGGCAAGCCAGTATGTCTCTTTTTATAACATAGGGAAAAACTGCTGTTTGCAGAAGAGAGTATGTAGGCAAAGTCTAGCTGAACAACAGCAGTTCATCGTTTGTCAAAAATGGTACAGATGCCATCAATTAAACCCATGTACAGACAGTCATGTCCTTGTCCTTAATACTTTTAATCTGTTTACTTCTACTTGGAACTTTCAAAGAATCACTGTATATTAAATTTATATGGGCATTAGCTGTTAAATGTGTAGTAGTTACATATTTACTGAAAGTTAAAGACATAATGTGACATGGTCAGCCAAAGGAGTAAAAATGAATTATAAAAACTTTTTTTCGAAAGTGCATAAGGCAGCTCCTTAATTTCTACATCCAGTTCAATGAAACTGGTTTGAAACTCAACTGCTAAAAGAGAAATGCCATACTAAATGAATGTTTTTATAAAACATAATTTTTTACACCTGTGATACATCCATTAGAGTCAATTTCTCATGTATTTCCTTTATAGAAAGCAATCATGCTTGACTTGTCAAAACAAAAAGTAAGTAAAGAAACAAAGAATGTTTGAAAAGGTTTACCAACTTTCCACAATGTATTAAATTGAGCAAAAGAGCTCAATATCTTTTAATTCAAATGTCAATGAGAAATGTTACATATTATGGTCAAATTAATAGCTACCTTATTTTGAAGACTATTTTAATAGGCACATATTTGATTAGTTTTTTTGTTTAATAATGAGGGTGACAAACTTTTTCCATTTTAATGTAACAACAAATAAACTGAAAACACCTTAGAAACAAACTAAAAACTACAAATTTTATTTGATTTTTAAAGACCATTCAGAAGAAGCATAGTACAAGGAATTCAGATTCTTATTTTGAAATACTAATAGTATAATTTAATATCAAGTATTAAATGTGGTGAGAACTTGGACTCTGAATTTACTGAATTTATATTTATTACTATAAAACCTGTCAGAAATGAAACCTTACAGTGAAGTTAATACATTTTCCAAATGAATATGAGAAAATTTTATATGGCGAGTTTCAAATGATGAATGACATGAGCACAAGAATCATATACACTCCTCCAGCCCCTGATTAATATATCCTTTTCTCCATGCCCCTGCAACAGAGGGCCCTCATCAATATAACATAATACTCTCTGGCTTAAATATCAGTTGACACTGCATGGGTCATAGAGCAACAGCATGGTTAGAGGAAAAAGGCACTGAAGTAAAAAGAAGACAATTATATAAAACATAATAGTAAAAAATTTTATACAATAACACCTGGCCTTTTCTGTGTCATTTTTGGTAAAATATACTAAACTTCACATAAAGCAACTCGACGACTAAATTTCTTCTTTCAGATTTGAGTTTGTGAAAGGAAATTATAAATTCCTGTTTCCTTACACCCTGGAATAGCCTCTCTATAGAGAATAGAACAACCAAAAAATTTTTCAAAATCTATTTTGAATGTCCTCTGGAAAAATAATACTCCAGTTCAATTAAAATTCATCATTTAGATTTGTTTTATCAATGGAACAAAACATCCTATCAGTAAGCAGTCATTTTTAAGAGACAATGAGCTATTACTATTACACGTCTTCATGTAGAAAGCAACTCAGATGTAAGCAGCAACAGTCACTTCTTGGGAAAAGGTTGTCAAAGAGAAATGAAAGATCTCAAAATTAAGAAAAATATAAGTTCAAACCTCTTTAAAATGCTCAAGGAATTCTTAAATACTGTAATCAAAACTTTTAGTTTGGCTCAAAGGACTTGAGTTACACATTTTAAATGACTTTTAAGAATAGTTATATTCTTCTCAAAAACCATGGGTGTTACTTATTAATGTTTAACATATTTTCCCCAAGTTTGGGAAGGATATCTATGTCGATTTTTGTAAGAATTAACACCCTTAAAAAGAAGATATAATTTACTGAAGATTACACCTCAGTAATCTTCAGTAAAGAATATTTTTAGGCACCTCCTTTTATAAACCTATCCTTCTTAGATAAGTTGGGAGTATATGTTTTTCTAACCTCTATGTAACTTTAATAAACTTTCACTCCTATCAGAGATGTTAAAAATCAGGATAATTATTATCAGTTACTGCCCAATATGAGTGGGAATTTTACCAACGATAACTATTAAAGGTAGGATTAAACTAGACAACAAAATAAAAAAATTATATATAAGGCTTTTAAAATTCTACCCATCATCTTAAATGATGGAATAAAAAGAAATCTAATTAAAGTAACATATAAAGAATACCCCTTGGCCTTTGTGTTAGTATAGCAGGAAAAAGATTGAAATTTGGGTGACTTTACGCTGTTATATCTAGAAACCTCCTATCTTGAATTACAACCACAAGGGAAAGATTATATTGTGATATTCTGAAAAAGAGAAAGTGATATATAACCTAGTCAATAAACAAAAGAGAATAATTATGTAAAACTCAATTTATTTATAAAAGGGGGAAAATAAGCCATTTTGTAAAAAAAAAAATCTTTCTACCATCTCAACCAATTATTTCCATTTTTAGAAAACCTTAGAGGACTATGTATTTTTAAAGCTTCAGTGTAAGAACTAAATGATAGGTAGTGATGAGATTTAAAAAAAAAGAAAGAAAAGAAAGGAAAAGATAGAGGAAAGAAGGCAAGATTTAAAAGCTTTTCATCCTAGGTCCTAGGATTACCATATGTAATTAAACATATTAGAAGAGCCAAAGTAAACCAAGAAACACAAAAATGAGTTTCTATGTAAATATTTAAACACTGCCTTTTCCCCCATTTACTGTTCAAAACATCAGTTTCTTGCTTGATAACTGCTAGCTTCTATGATATTGCACAGTAGGTTCCTGCGAATGCTTTGTACTAGGTACTTAATGCTAACAGATTCCAGGCCTCAAAGCAGAACATAGCAAATCTGATTTTCACCACTGCCAAGTTTCTGTGGTTAGTAACTGCACAGAAAAGGCCACACAATCAAGAGGGAAGGTAAACATATTCTAAGTATGTTACTCATTACTGAGTAACATTATTGAGGCTGCTAGCTGAACCAGTCATTCCATTTTCACTTTTCTGGAGTGTTCTCACAGCACTTGGAACCTGCATCCCAGTACTCAAAGAAAGTCCACCACACCATACCTAAGAAAAGACAAAAAGCCTCAGTCAGATTTCAAATCAAATTAAAACTTCAGCGGTTCTTAATTTTCCATTTGAAAGGCAAAATGCCACATATATGAACATCAACATGCCTTAAACTGATAACCTTCATATGTGAGCTGAGGGAAAGTGAAAGACTGAGAATTCTTTTGGAACTAAAGAGGCCTGAGAAGTCTTTGTGGTAGCAGAACCCCCTGGAGCTACACTTGACAGAGAAATCTGAGGGCTGCAGAAATTTACAGACTAAATTGGATTAATCTAGGCAAAAGTTATTAGCTATCATTACTGATGTTAACCTTCACGACCAAGTTGCAGAAAAAACCAAATTCCTTCCCAATTATGCTTTCAGTTTTGATAATGAGATGTGGCCTGAGACAACAGGAATCTAACACACCTCTGTTAACAGTAAAATCCACTGTTAAAATCTTCCCTATCTTGTTACAAGAAAAATGCAAATGATAATATCTGGATGAATTTTTCCCCTTCTATTAATTATTATAAATGTGAAGGAGTTTATAAAAAAATAAAGCTGTTTTTCTTGTGAACAGAGCAGCTATGATTCAATAAAATGAAAAATAACAGATTTGGAACAGTGTCAAGAGAATTAAAATATGAAAATATGGATCATTTAAACTATCATCAACTACCATGTATGTGGCAGGCACAGCTTAAAGCAAGGGAAGTTCTAGAAGCTGTTTAAGTATTCTCACCTTAAATTATATCCATAAGTGTTTCAATATCTAAGTAACTAGATTGCTGTGCCAAAGAATCTACTGACTTGTGAAATTTATAACTATATAATTAACATTCTAAATTTTCAAAATTAGCAGGCTCAGTAATGATAACTCCCAAAATACAAAAACAACTACCTGATTATAAAACTACTATTTTTTTGGGAAATTAGTATTTAAGTGATTTTGAAAAGTATTCACTCAAAATAACTAACACAAAGATGCAAAAGCAACCAAAGTGAGGCACAATGACCATTTGTATACATAACCCTGAATTGTACCCCACATCTTTAAAATTAAAAAATGTTTTTTAAAAAGGTACAAAGCCAAATCAATGGAGAAAGGTTAGTATTGTCAATAAAAAGTACAAAGATAATTGGACATCTATATGCAAAAAAATGAACCATCATGTACCTTGTACCATATACAAAAATTAATTCAAAATCACACACCTAAATGTAAAACTTAAAACTGTAAACCTTCAAGAAGAAAACATAGGAGAAAATGTTTCTGACTTTGAATTAGGCAAAGCATTACCCCCTAAAAGAAAAAAAAAAAAATTCTAAACTGGACTTCACATCAAAATGAAAAACTTCTCTTTGAAATGTTCAGAAAAATGAAAAAAGCAAGCCATTAACCGGGAGAAAATATGTGCAAAACATACATTTGATAAATAATTTCCAAAATATATATAGAATGTTTTAAACTTAATAAGAAAACAACTCAAAAGAATGAGCAAAGGATTTAACAGGTACTTCACCAAAGAAATTATATGAATAGCAAAGCACATGTAAAGGTGCTCAATACATCATTTGTCATTAGGACAGTACAAATAAAAACACAACTACACACCTATTAAAATGGTTTAACAAAAAAATCTTATAATGCCAAATAATGGCAAAAAAAAGAAGAATTCTCATATATTGCTAGTAGGAATGCAAAAATATAAATTCAGCCTCTTTGCAAAACATTTTGGCAATTAAACATACACTCTGAATGTGATCCAGCAACCCTATTTTAGGTATTCACCCAAGAGAAAAACCCGTATGTAAATATTTAGAGTGACGTTATTTATAATTGCCACAAAACTGGAAGTAAACCCAAATGTATTTCAACTGGTAAATAGACTAATAAACTGTGGTACATACATATATAAAACAATGTTCAGCAATCAAAAAGAGAATACTGATATCATTATGCTACAGGATCGAAAGGCTACACATATGCCATACAATTTCATTCATATGACATTCTGGAGAAAGTGAAACAGGAACTAAAAACTACTGATTGCTAGGGACTAGTTGCATTGAGGGGTCCACTAAAAAGGAACACAGAGAAATTTCCTAGGGTGAGGGAAATGCTCTGTATCTTGATGATGGTGGTAGTTACACAACTATGCATTTATTAAAACCCACAGAATTGAACAATACTATAAATCAGTCATGTCCAATGCATGCAGCCCAAGACAGCTATTAATGTGGTCCCACAAAATCTTGTAGCATGTGTTGTTTAGTGTTTATTTTCTTTGTGACCTCATGCACAGTTCCATTTTTGAAGTTTACAATCATGCCTTATTCATGACATTGCTTTTTGGTGGCACATACATTTGTGAGCAGCTGTTTTCAATTAGGAAGCAGAGAGCAAAATTTGAACAAACATTTCTGATGAGCACCTTGAGAACTCACGAAGAATTGCAACCACTTCCATCATAGTTAACATATTTGCGACCGGCACATTTTTCACTTTCCTAATACTGAGAGTAGGTGAAAATAAAAAAATTCTGAAACTGGTTGCCGCCAACTTCTGTCATTAAGATAGGGATAAAAATTAGAAAATTTGTTTTGAAATATCAGTCTTGGAAAGATTTGTTGTTTAAAATAAATAACTTTCTGTTAAAAAGTTACAAGTGGAAAAGAGAAGATGAAAAAAAATTTGAAAGTTATTGTATTCCAGGGTTGTGTAAATTATACTGGATATGGTTTTACATGCTTTTTAGGTATATAATAGACTACCTATTATTATGTTTATTTAGAAATATTTTACATGTATCTTGGTAAAACAAAATGGAAAGTGAAATTTAATATTCCTGTATCGTGTGATAAATTGTAAAACAATGACCTGTGCATAAAGGAACTCTTCAGGATTTGCATATAAATGAAGTATCAGTATGTTTTCTATGAACTTTGCAGGCTCTACAACATTTTTTTGGATACTTTGTTTTTCCCAACTGTGTGATTCTTTCCAAATGATGTGTTTTTATGTCACCAAAAGTCTACAAGGAGGATTATGGCGCGGTGTCTGACCTACTGCTGCTGACCTACTCACTGGTAAATTTCTGGAACCATTATGCACAGTATCATAAGCAATCCATTCTTCTGCCAGAGTTTTAAGTATTCTGAAAAGGTTATACTGTACAATAAACATGAAAACTTTTTTTGGCTACTTGATTGATTTTTGTAAAAATGAATAATATGAAAGATGTTGATCAGCAAGATCAATACCTTTCATATGTTGATTATATTTTATTACGCACTCAGGCTTACAAACTTTTTGTCCAGTTTTTGAATTTACTTTAAAAGTCTCCAGGATGTCACTATCACGTATCATTGATATCATTTGAACCTCCCATTTATCCTTCCACTTGAGAGTACCTCACCTTTCCACCGAAAATCAGATTCACCTATTTTCAATTTCAGATTATTTAGTTCCTTTGGAAAATCTCTATTTCTTCATATTGTACCATAATTCAAATATTTTTCTTCAATAACTTTTCAGCTACTGTAACATTATTATAATAGTTATCCATGTAGACGTGGTGCCATACATTTTCATTTTTATTTAACACAAGTTAAATGGTCTTTTCTAAATGGTCACCTTTTTCACAATACAGCTGAAAGTTACAGACATAGCCAGTATTTGCCTCAAACACCACCCTGACTAGCATTTCGTACCCTGTATTTTTATTTAGATTATAAACCCAAACAGACAGTCTTCCACAATGAAGTATCATGAATTAATTCAAGGAAAGTTCTTGTTCAGGTTTGTACACAGTACAAACAATACAGTATGTATTAGACAACCTATTTAATACATAATTTAATACAGATTCAATTTTGAATAATCCGATTAGATTTGACTGCATTTCTGCATTACTGCAAAAATGGTAAACTATTTTTAACACTGAAGTATGAAAGCCCTGAAATATTCACATACAAGTATGCAACACTAATTGCAACAAATAATGACCAACTTGTAATTTTTACCAACTATGTAAAACAAGAATAACATTGCAGTCGATATCAGATAATTATCTCAGTTAACTTTCCCTCTCCTTGCCTGATTATTCATTTTCAAGCAAAATATGATAACATATACATACAACAACGTTGCAGCATTCAGAAACAGAATTTGCAAAGATGTAAATTCACATCAGCGGCAACCAGGAACAGAATTTGGAATGATGTGAATTCATGTCAGTGGTCATGAATGAGTTAAATTAATTTCACACTAATTTTATTTTTTATTATAATTTAATTTCCCACTAGTTTTATGTTGCTCTCATTCTTCTAAGCTTTACAATAAAAATATTTTTTAAAAGGTCTTATTATGTGTACACACTAACTATATCATATACTTTATATGCAGACCAAGACAATTCCTCTTTACTCAGTGCAGCCCAGGGAAGGCAAAGGTTAGACATCCCTTCTATAAATTGTACTTTAATAAAACTGACTTTAAAAATTAATCTTGTACACACTTAATGGTAATTTACTTAGTTAATCAAAGCAAGCTTTTTGGACTGGATAAAAAATGTGGTACATATACACAATAGAATATTATGCAGCCATAAAGAAGGACAAATATATGGACTTGATAGCAAATTGGATGGATTTGGAGTTGATCACACTCAGTGATTTATCACAGAAATAAAGAACTGAGTTCCACATGTTCTCATTCATAAGGTGACCTTGAACAATTACAATCCTATAAGAAAGTGATTGGCAGTAGTGGAAAACTCAGGGGAGGGGGAGGTGGGACTGGCAGTTAGGGGAGGGAGGGGCATACCTCATCAACAAGGGTACCCGCATGATCAATGTTTGTATACCTAACCCTAAATTGTACCCCGCATCTTTATAATAAATAAATAAATTTTAAAAATAAATAAATAAATAAAAGCAGGCTTTCAATGAAGGAAAAAATTTTTTAACCAATTTAAAATAATTTCTTACGGCATCTTAAAATAAGATGTTACAACATTTACTAATGTAATTACAGTACCATCACTTGGAATGAAAAACAATGAATAAACTCAGTACATAACCGAGATTGATTCAAATTAAAAATTCAATCTATTCTTTTATAAAAGTGTATCTAAGTCTTGGGAAAATTTTTTTTCTCGGTTTCATATGTAAATAATTCGTCCCCGATTGACCACTTTGGAAAACAGCCAAAAATGTACAATACAGTAGAGGTTTGTAGGAAAAAAACTGCAATATTTTAAAGTATCTCCATGAACAATAACTTTATTCACTAATCACTTTTACTTTTTAGTGTAAAAGTAGGAGTTTTGGGTATTAGCATTGTTTAAACTTAAGAGTTTAGGGTATCTAGAGTAAATAATCATTAACTGTGAGATTTAAAATCACTGCATTTTAAACCCACACATACTCCATCATACTTGAGGGGTTATAGTTAGGGGTGATGACGGAAGAACACATATACAAAACATTCCAAGTCTGCCCTTGAAATATAGCATCCTGATTTAAAAGTTCTAGCCATAATTACTGGATCCTATAACTCCTCACAGGAACCAGACTTATAAAGAAATGCAGAGGATTAAGGAGTTGAAAGAAGCAATAACATTTGTATCCAAAACAAAATAATTCAAACCCATGTTTCCTTCAATTTGTACAAAGAAAAACGAAATTTTCTTATATACATCAGCTGGAAATTGAGTAAACTTGAAATAAAATATATGTGTATACAAACACACATACATATATATTCAGCCTACCACATAAAGACGGCCATCTGATATTATACAAAGATACTGTGCTATGATTTTATCAATAAATGGTCCTGGAATAACTGGATATCCATATGGAATTAAAGAATGTGTCTAGACCCTTACTTCATATCAAATACATTAATTCTATATTGTACTTGCATTGTAAATGCATTCTATAAAAGTACAAGGTAAAGCTTTTAGAAGAATACACAATAATATTTTCAAGACCTTGGGGACAAATAATGATTTCGTAAACAGAACAAAAAAGTACTAACTATGAATGAAAAAAATTGGTAAACTGAACGACATTGAAATCAACAACTTCTGCTCATCAGACAATACCAGTAAGAGAGGGAAAAGGAAAGTCAGAGTGGAGAAGACATTTGGAATACATGTATCTGACAAAGGACTCAGACTAATTCAAGAACTACAAATCAATTGATAAGAAATAGGAAGACAACCAAACAGAAATACAAGCAAAAGGCCTGACTAGCCAGTTCAGAAAAGAATATAACCAAATAGTCAACAAATATAAAAAGGTGCTCAGCAGCACTAGTCATCAAAGAAATGCAAATGAAAACCACAATGTAAAATATCATACCCACTAGAAGGACTAAAATTAAAAAAAATATATATACCAAATGTTGGCAAGGATATGAAGGAACTAAAACTCACATACTGCTGTTGTAAACTAGTATAACCAACCACTTCGGAAAACCGTTTGACAGTATCTACTACAGTTGACTATACATATGATCTAACAACCCCCATCCTAGGTATACTATACTCAATAGAAATATACACATACATTTATCAAAATACATGAATAAGAATATTCATAGTTCATAGAAGTTCTATTTGTAAAAGCCCCAAATGGAAACCACACACCTATCCAACTAAATTAGAATGGATAAATTGTGTTATAGTCATATAATGGAAAACTATACAGCTATGAGAATGATTTACAATCATAGAATATGGATAAATCTCACAAACATAATGTTGAGCCAAAAAGATATTGTATTATTCCATTTAATAAAAGTTGAAAAGGAAGTAAAATCTGTGGTATTAAAAGTCAAGTCAGTATTTACCCTTCGGAGGAGGGCCAGTAGGGACTAGAAATGGGCACAAAGGAGCTTCTAAGAGTCTGGTAATGTTCCATTTCTTGATCTAGGTGCCAGTTACAAAAGTGATTGCAGTCCTGTGAAAATTCATGAAACTACATGCTTATGGCTTGTGTACTTCAATGGATTAACAACGACTTCAACAAAATATACCAAAAATACACAGATTTGGAAGACGGCAATTTGAGGAAAGAGGGAGAAATATGAAGAAACATATTCAGCTTCCCTAAATACACAGCATAGATTATTTTTCTTAAAGTTGCCAGACCAAAAAATATATAAATTAGGTACTAACCATGAAACCAGGTAGTACTGGCTGAGTAAATTTTGTCTTAAAGGAATACAGCAACTGTTTTGAGTTTGCATCATAGAATGAAAGTTGACCTAAAAGGAAGCGGAAAAAAGCCTAATTTATTATACAAAAAAAATGATAACATCTAATTAAGTTTATCTAACATATGAGGGGGACCCCAAAAAAACCAGAAATCATTTATTAAAAATTGTGTATTTATTCTTACATGTTTAAACTTCAGTCACCTTCAGAGTACTCTCCGTTGATGCAAGCAATACTACTGAGACGCTTTTTTCACTACTCAAAACAGTTTTTGCCAATTTTGATGCCGTTTAGTGCTCCTCCCATTTTTTGTTTTACCTCTTCCACATCAGCAAAATGTTCCTCCTTTGAGAACTTTTTTCACCCAGGGAAACAAACAAACAAAAAAAGTTGCTCAGGGTAGAGCGGGTAAATGTGGAGTGTGGGCCATGGGGGTCATGCCATTTTCTGTCAAAAACTGCTGTTTTAATAAACTCAGTGTGGTGTAGGTCAGTGCAATGTTATAGTGGAAAAACCAGTCACCTGTTTGCCACAACTTGGGACATTTCCTCTGCAAATCACGATGCAACCTTCTCAAAACTTCCAGATAAAAAACTTTGGCTGACCGTTAGATCAGGAGGAATAAATTCTGATTGTTTGTACTACAAAGGGGGCCTGTCTTCTAAAAGATAATTCCAGTGTTTTTTTGGTCCCCCCTTGTATAATTATGTAAAAAGTAACAACCTAATACATATTTTGGCATTTTTTGTTAACTATAAGAACTGGACTTAATGATTCTCACTTGAAAATTAGTCATCAACACTCTTAAGGAAAAGCCCTAATCCAGTTTTTCCTCCCTGGTTTTCAAGCCCTCCATAATCTGGCACCATTCTACTTATTCAACTCTTAAATATTTCTTTATCGTATCATTATTTAACAAATGGTTTCTTTAGCCCAGTAAAAACCTAGGCCATCTCTTCCTCCTCATTTTTACTGCAACCAACCTTTCTACCCAAATCCTATTACCATTTAAGGATTACTCTATTAAACCTTGTTGTCTAACTACTTGAGGCTACATTCATACTCCAGTCTCCAAAATCAGTTATCATTGTTTCAGCTTTGTTAAAAATTACCTCAAAGTATGTCTTTCAATAGGATTATGTCCTAAAATAGCTGTCTGACCTCCTAAACCACCCAGCCTGATAGCCTCCTTAAAACTGTTATCTTTTTTTTTTTTTTTTTTTTGAGTTGGAGTCTCACTCTGTCACCCAGACTGGAGTGCAGTGGCTGCTCCCGGCCATCCCAGCCTCGACCTGCTGGGCTCCGGCAATCCTTCTGCCTCAGCCTTCCAAGTAGCTGGAACTACAGGCGCGTGCTACCACACCTGGCTAATTTTTGATTTATTGTAGAGATGAGGTCTCGCCAAGTTGTCCGAACTGGCCTCGAACTCACAGGCTCAGGCAATCCACTCACCTCGGCCTCCCAAAGTGCTGGGATTACAGGCTGAGCCACCAAGCCCGGCCTGTTATCACATCTTGAAACTCTTCGCTGATGACTATTCTTTTGGTTGGTATCCTAACCCTGAGGATATCTTCTATTTCCTTTTTCTGCTTTGACCAGGCTCTCTTTTCTTTCTATAATGCTCCCTTCATAAATTAACTGCCACCAATGAGGAAGAGAAAAGAAACTAATATTTATGTACTCTATTAAAGTACTCGATGTTTTATGTACATTACCTCAAAATATTAAGCAGCCTATATATGATCACAAAGTAAATAACAGAACAGTAAGCTTAAATATATCCTGTGTAATCATCAGTAACCACTCTGTGACGCTGTCTTAAATATTTAGCATCAGCTCTACTTCTGAGTTCTACCACCGAATTTCCAAATGCTCGCTAAACATACCACATGGTTGTCTTGCTGGCATCTCATTTCCCCAAAACTCTCTATGTTCCCTATCCTACTGACACTGTCATTCTCTCAATCACACTGGCTGGAGCCTCAAAGTCATCTTAATTCATCTCCCTGTCCACTATGCCCCCGCATCCATATTTAGTTACTAAGCCCGACAAACGCTACATTGACACTCTCAAATCCATTCTTCTTCATTCTCCACTGCTCAGATCCTTGATACCAGTCACTCAGCAAACACTTATTACGGTCTTTCTTTGTAATAGTTAAGATAAGACACATGGTCCTGCTCTACCTACATTGCTTGAAGACTTTTCCCTAGAAAGTCTTATGCTATCTATGCTTTCAAGCTCTTCCATCTTTAATTATTGACTCTCTCATATTTTCAAAGCTAGATTATCATCACATGACGATAATTTCCTAAAACATACAGAACCATCCCTCTCCACTTCTAAATAAAGACTAGTCTAGTATTATTTTGTCAAGGCTCTCAGAATCTCATCCTATTCTATATTACAACATACCCCTTTCTGTACACTATGCTTTAGGCTAACAAATACTTCTTACTACTGTCTTTGTGGAATCACAAAGTATGGGAAAGGAGAGAGAAAAGATAAGCAAATGTTGTCTTGGTAGTTGAAAAAGAAAAAAAAAAATGTGTGCTAATAAATTTGCTACTCATCCAGAGGAAAATGGTTTATCTGATTCAAAATGAATAAGTAAAAAAAAAAAAAAAAAGCAGCTAAACTGATGTTATCACTAAAAATAAATGAAGCCAAAATTAATTCTTCACCTTATCTGAATACACTGAAATCCCATGAAATGATCCAGACACATGTTAGTTAAAATGATAAAATTTTGTATTATTATCTTACATTGTCAATTTGGAGGAAAACATCTAGGGAATTACTTCAGTTCAATACTATGTCACCTTCAAAATGTTTATAAGTTAGTTAGCTGACCATAAAGAATATTCTTATCAAATAATAATTCAGTAAGCATAAAGATATTTTTCAAAAGATAAGCATCAAGTTAATCTTTAGATTGTTTTATCAGGAGGGGAAATGGTCAAATCTATTAAAATAAAACTAATAAAGGATAAATATAATATTCTTCATTTGAGTTATATGCAACAATGAGTTCCAAAAACCAACCCCAAACTGCCTAATAGAAGACACTTTAACATAACTTTTCATGAAAAGAGATCTTGTAGATAAGGGTGGCTACAAGCTCAATATTGGTTAATAGTACTGTTAAGTCATATTACTAGAAATAGTGTTGCCAAATTACTGTCCTTTACTGGCCGGGGTCATGTGTTCTAGTCTAAGAACTTATCTTTAAGAAATATACTGACACAGCATATACACCCATAGAAGATTATAAAGGTTTGGAAAATTTAAATTGTAAGAGAAACAGCTAATAATAGAGAATGTATAATCTAGAAAAACAGGGAAAGAAAAGCAATGGTAATACCTGTAGTTTTTAACAAATAACAATTATCATGTGAATATGAATTAGAGAACATACTTCTGTTTATTCACATGGCAAAATTTAAGAGCAACAGTCTCAAAAGTTATAGGGAGACAAAGTGAGTCAATTCAGGAAAAACTTTCTAATCAAGAGCTTCCCATCAATGAGACCACACATGGTGGTTCACACCTATAATCCCAGCAATTTGGGAGGCTGAGGTGGGAGAATCACTTGAACCCAGGCATTCAAGACTAGTCTGGGCAACATAGCGAGACCTCATCACTATAAAAAAAATTTTTTTTAAATTAGACGGGCATAATGGCCCATGCCTGTAGTCCCAGTTATTCAGAAGGCTGAAGTAGGCTCGCCTGAGCCCAGGTGGTTGAGGCTGCAGTGAGCCATGACTGTGCCACTGTACTCCAGCCTGGGTGACAAAGTGAGGCCCAATTCAAAGAAAGTAAAAAAAGAACTTCCCAAAAATGAAACAGGCTGCTTTCTAAGACAACAAAGCTTCATATTAAAGTTATTCAAGCACAGGAGTAGCAATGTAGTAAGGATTTTATATGGTGTGACAGATGGACTGGGTAATTTCTAAGGTCTACTTCAACTCAAAAATTCTGTCTCTTTATAGGTAGGTAATAAAACATAGTAAGATAGGAATTTAAACGGACTGAATAAATTATAGTGTTGAAGACTAAAATAAGCAAAATATTTTCAATTTAGTTAAGATATAAGGGAGGGACCCCCAAAACCCAAAATTTATTTATAAAAAATCGTGTATTTATTCTTACATGTTTAAACGTCAGTCACCTTCAAAGTAGTCTCTGTTTGATGCAATGTTCCTACTGAGATGCCTTTTTTGCTGCTCGAAACAGTTTTTGAACTTGTCAATTTTGATGACTTTTAGTGCTTCTGCCATTTTTTGACCTCTTTTATGACAGATGTTTCCCTTTGAGGACTTTTCATCCAGGAAAACAAAAAATGTCACCTGGGGCAAGATTGAGTGAATAGGGAGGGTGGGCCGTAGGAGTCATGCTGTTTTCGTCAAAAACTGCTAAACACTCAGCAGGTATGGGCAGGTGCACTCTTAAATCACCCATCATAAAATAGGCAAACACATTGAAAGAATCTCCAAAAAAAAAAAAAATTCACTGACGCTGAGCGCAGTCTCTCACAAAGATGCTAGTTGGTACACTGATGTTGATGGGTTCCTAGAACACTTACCTAATGGAGGAAACCTGTACTATAAGGAGCCTGTCCTCCAAAAAATAATTCTGGTTTTTTGGGGGTCCCTCCTCATAAATGAGTGCTTTCATGGAGCTCCAGGCAGACATCACACACCCTTCCAGTCAATTCTAGAACTGAGACGGTTTTGATCAAAAGCCCAGTTGGTCAAAATGTCCTTACCACAATACTAATGAAAATTCTGTATGGATGGTTACCAGTGAAAAGTACTGAACTACAAGTAACTATGGAGAAATAACCTATGAGAAAATACATAAACTTACCCCCATCAAAATCACAAAATACACCTATTTTCTCAGGAACAGTAACATCTAAAGCTTTGACTTTGTTATTATGCTTTGCTGCAAACGTGTTTTGTAACCAATTGTTGACATGGATACACCAACTTGTGTTTGTCTTTCCCAGTTGGTCAAATTTCCCCAAAGTTTTGTATGCTACTCCCACACTGTATGATTTACAGTCTTTCTGGGCCTTGACTTCCCAATAATGTTGTCCACATTCAATTGCAGTGTCTCCTACAAAAGATCAGAAAAGCAGATTGACTCATTTTTTCTTTATGAGGTACACAGTTGTACCTATCACTCTCTTTTGCCATTTCGAAATGGCACAAAAAAATTCACTCAAGTACTCTTTCTTATAGCAATAATCATGCTAATATACAGACACTAAATTCATAGTACCTGCTATAACTTTACTTTAATATTTACTACTATTTTTCAGAATATAAAATGCTTCAGAATATACTTCCTTACTATTCCCTCAAAACATGTATGTGGGAGCACTATGTGAGCTGAAGTAGAGTTTTAAAAGAATCAGTAATAAAACAATTTGAAAACACCCCAAAGTAATTAGGCTTCAACCGGGAAAAACTTCTGCAAAAATGCATTCAGTATACAGGCAGTCATTCTGACTCACAGTGTGACTGTGATTGAGATAATAAAGAACTATTATTTTGTGTCTTACCCAGCACTGTGTATGATTCCCCAGTAAAACGATCTCTGCTGCCTCTTACTGCTGGTGGCCTGGAGCCTATGGATGTCCGTTTGGGGGATGGTGTACCACTTCTACATAAACAAGAACAAAAAGAAAAACAAATATTTTATGTTGCAAACATTTCATAAACTAAAATTACAAATCACAGAAGGAAGTTTTAAAAATAATTCTAATTATATTATCGAAATAACACCATTCAATTTGATCACAATTATTGTTAAAGTGAGTTACCTATTATAAACATTGAAATGTAAGAAGCTATCAATATAACAGACTGAAAACACTAATGTCATGCAGACTGAGCAAGGCTGATACGAAGAACACATAGCTGAAATAAGAAACAGTGCCAAAATGCAGTAACACTTACTAAAGAGTAAAAAAAGAACTAAAAAAAACCCAAACAGATTATAGCTTATATTTTTTGCAGTTACATTTAAATAAAAAAGGCAAAGACAGATCTTGTCTTATAATCATAACTAAATAAACTTTCTTATAAGCGGCAGGTATTTTCATTCTGAATCTCTTCTTAAAAATAGAAATGGCAACTGCCCAAATCCATATACAGGATAATATCAAGTATTATAAAGTGTTTCTCCTACTAAAATAGACAAGATCCAATCTGACCTCTTCTTACATCAAACTATATGACATGGAAAACTAGACTGTTGAGCTTTTACTAACTCTCAAAAACAAAATAGATTAAATCCCAAAAATGTTTTTAAAAATAACACTCTAATCATATTGAATCACTACATTTAAAAAACCAAAGCATTTTTTGATCAAGTTTATCCTAAAATTATTTAGGGAAAATGGCAATAACTATCTATACTTGTACTCTAAATCAGAACTAAAGACACATTTCCAATCTAATTGCACTAGGATTTTTCTAACTAAAAAAAGATCCATTCAGTAGATTTTAATAAGCTATCAATTAATACTGGAATAGAAATCTCTGACAGAGACAAAGCAAGAATAAAGATATAATTTAAAGTCATTTCACGTAATTCATTGACTTCATTCTACATTATTTAAATGTTGTCTTGCTGTTGAAAAGCAGATTAGATAATTGCAAAGAATTGAACAGTATACCCAGGATCACTTCAACTGCCTACTTTTCAGTGAATGGCATTAAGTAGCAAAATTATAGGTCTACAACTACAGCATTCACATGATTTAGTGCAATTCTTCCCAAAGGATTTTAAAGGTTCTTTTTGTAAAGATCGTTCTTTAAGAAGACACTTAAGCAACTGAATGTTAGTTCTGTTTGAACAGGGAGCATGAACAGAGCTGAATAAGGACAAGTGGATTAAAATTTTTGTGACACTTATGCTAATGTAGGTGGTTAGTAGTTTCTTCCTATTGGGAAGGGGGAGAGCAAGATAAACCCTAACTGGGGAAAATTGCAGAAGAGTAGTTGAAATCTACAAAATAAAGGATAGAAGTAAAGACAAATTAAGAAAAATTTATACTCTTTACTCTGAATATCAAAAATATATTTTTAACTTCTTCAAGGTTTGGTTTGACCACATTTTCTAAAGTAATACTTGCACAGTACTCTTAACGTTCATTAAGTAGTAAGAAAGTAAAACTCTGCAAACACTCTATCAACTCACTGATAACTCAAAAAAAAACCAAACTGCATCACAATTTTCTTTCTGATTCTTTTTATACAAGTTGATCAAGAATTTTAAAAACCTGATGGCAAAAAATTGGTATGTTTTCAAATATTTTATCTTAAACTCAGGTAAAAAGATAACATTCTATTCACCCCAAATGTTTCTTTAATAAATTAATACATGTAGCTGTATTTTCATGATCCTGTGAGTAGGTACAGTGTCTTGAAACTGGTGGTTTTTTTTTTTTTGAGTTGGAGTCTCACTCTGTCGCCCAGACTGGAGTGCAGTGGCCGCTCCCGGCCACAGCAGCTTCGACCTGCTGGGCTCCGATGATCCTTCCACCTCAGTCTTCCAAGTAGCTGGAACTATAGGTGCACGCTACCACACCCGGCTAATTTTTGATTTATTGTAGAGATGAGGTCTCGCCAAGTTGTCCAGACGGGTCTTGAACCCATGGGCTCAGGCAATCCACTCACCTTGGCCTCCCAAAGTGCTGGGATTACAGGCTAAGCCACCAAGCCCAGATGAAACTGGTGGTTTTTAAATCACGTCCTCAACTCAAGGGAATCCGCAGATACCATAAATGCTGCTGCAGGACTCTGGGAAGAAGTCAGCTTCAGGGCTCCTTTCCCACTTTAACCAGCTATGCTTTTCTCTTTTAGACTTAGCTTCTGGAAAAACATTAAATAAACTATTCTACTGCTTTTTTAAAAAGTGTGAAAACTAATGTTTTAGATACAATACTAGGAACACATGAGAAGGAAGGGGGTAAAAGTAAAATTGTTCAAATGTGGTTTGTAAAATTTTTAACAAAAAAGCTTTTAGGTCTCCAAAATACCTGTATAATATAAGAAATTAGTGTGATTTACAGTTATTCTCCAAAAGTTTATATTAAACTATCTGAAACAAAAAGCACACTCTCTCACAGAAAACAATGAGTGGAAAGTTTGCCAAAGATCACCTAATTCATAAAGTCACCAATTTATAAATTGACTGAACATCAATTTTCTTTCATCCAAGTTAATTCAACTACAAATACTGGTAATTATAAAAAAAAAAAAGTTTTTAATGAATCCTAAATTTCAGTATTTGCAGAATATTAGTTTTTGACTACAGATGGAAGATGGGATACAATAATACTAGCTGGGATACAGAACTGGAATACAGAACACTTCATTGTATCTAACTTCACTTCAAACCCCAGTGCTTTTTCGTATAATAGTATGTAGTATCATTACCTGTAACAGTCATGACTATGGTTGCTTTTCAGTTGAGAGCTAGAACAAAGACAGTCAAAAATATTTTGTGGTGGGTATAATAGTTTAGAATCAAATGAGAGGCAATGAGTTTAGAATAAGTGTGTAATTAGGGGTGAAGAGGAATTAAATGAGCCAAACCAGTAGGTCTCGAACCTTGTTGCACATCAGAACTTTTAAGAATGCAAATTACCAGGCCTGACCACAGACAACTAAGAACACTGGAGGATAGACTTGAGAAACATATTTGTGTGTTGCAATTAAAAATTTCAAGATTTTACTGCTCAGGTGGGCTAGCAGCCACTAAGGTGAAACAAAACAAAACTCCCCTAACAAGGAACAGCGATTAAAAGGGTGACGATGAAAAGACAGCTCTTATACAACCTACCATATGAAACCCGCAGTTCTTGGTTGCTATGGCAAGTGAGGAACTTGGTTGTGGAGTAGCTGAGGGAAGGGAAATTAACCATTGGCAGGAACCACATCTTCTCATCTGTATATCCTCAGTACATAGTAGGGCAGTATAATATCTGACTAAAATGAATGAGTTATGCTGAGTAAATGGAATATGTGACATTATTAACTAAAAACCACCTATTCCCTCCTGTACCACTCCTTCCTATACCACAGTCCTAAAATGGAATAGCACAGGCCTTTGCAATTTTGTAACAAATCGGTGATTGTCAATTGAAAAGGCACAACAGAATCAGAATCAATCAGAAAACTTTTTCAAAATACACTGATAGTTCAGTGGGTGGATCAGAACGTGTGTTGGGAGGAAACATGCAGTTTGAAACATATTTCCCAGGTAATTCAGGGCAATAATAAGTACAAGTCATATAAATAAACAGAAAAATGTCCTATAGCATTGCTTCAAAATATGTTAAGAGTTATTTTGATAACCAGAAAAACAATTTTTAAAAATGTATAACTTACCAGTAGTAAAGAAATAAAAGGAAGCATGGAGAAGGAAAAAACAGACATTAACTATTAACAATAACAGTTTAATTTCAGAGCAAAGTTAAATAAGAACTCTTCTGCAACATTCCAGCCTTCTATCCAGTCTTCCAACCCTAATTTTTTTTTTTTTAGAGACAGGGTCTCATTCTGTCACCCAGACTGAAGTGCAGTGGCATGATAATAGCTCACTGTAATCTCAAATTCCTGGGTTCAAGTGATTCTTCCACCTCAGCTCCCCAAGTAGTTAGGACTATAGGTGCATGACATTGCACCCAGCTAATTTTAAAAATCTTTTGTAGAGACGAGATCATGCTATGTTGCCCTGGCTAGTTTTGAACTCCTAGCCTCAAGCAATTCTCTCTCCTGATCTTCCCAAAGGGTTGGAATTTACAGGTATGAAGCACTGTGCTGGCCCCTAAGTACATTTTTGCAAAAAGTTCAACAGCTGTTATTGTTTTATGTCAATACCTGACTCTGAGACTGGAGTGCAGTGGCCGCTCCCAGACACCACAGCCTTGACCTGCTGGGCTCTGCGATCCTTCCGCCTCAGCCTTCCAAGTAGCTGGAACTACAGGCACACGCTACCACACCCGGCTAATTTTTGACTTGTCGTAGAGATGAGGTCTTGCCAAGTTCCCCAGGCAGGTCTCGAACCTGCGGGCTCAGGCAATCCACTCACCTCGGCCTCCCAAAGCGCTGGGATTACAGGCTGAGCCACTGAGTCCAGCTGACTCTGCTTCTCTTAAAGATATCTTGACGATTTAACTGTCTGAATTAAGGCTCTTTGCAACTTCTAGTCCAGATTGTTTTACCAATTTTCCAAATAATCTCTTTGCTACCCAACCCATCTTGTTCATTATTACAAGATAAACCTACCTCATTCTTCTATTTTAAAATCTTCATGTACTTCTGCATTGCCTACAAATGACTTAGAGTTCTGGCATTATAGGTTCTTGATTTGGTCCCAATTGGCTTTCTAGGCTTCTTGCCCTTAAAAGGCACTATACAGATAAATGTACCAGCCAAAACATCCTTTGAACTCACAATCTGCTTTAGTACCTTTCCTTTTGTTGCTCCCCCCTCAACTGCAAATCTAAATACCACACATTCTTCACTTGCTCAAGAACCAGCCTAAATACCATTCCTTTAATGAAAGTCTCTCAGATTCTATCAGGCTAAATAACTCTTCTGAGGAATCCAACTCCAGGCCACAATCTTATGTGTGATCTTTCAAGCCTAACCACAAGCAATTTCAAAGGCTTTACCTGGTAGACCTGGGTGAGGCAGGATCAGGGCACAGGGTAGGGGGCGCTGCCCTCTTCATACTAGCCTTGGTACACAGTTTCTGCATGGTAGTTTTTATAGGGAGTTGCAATTCCACTCCTTTGCCCACCATGATCGTACACATATCTGCATTCCTATCCTAGGTACTAGAGGCTCTCTTATGGGAGTGAGGGCCCACAGGCTGAGAAACTCTTCAGGTGTCTCCATGCAGAACTTCTTAAGGGCTTGGGATGGTGGTGGGTAGGGGTCTGAAAACACTTCTCCACTCTGTTTTAGTACTTTTCCACTTTTAACCCACCCCCCACTCCTCACCTTTTTGGCTCTCAGGTCCATAAACTATAAACCAACAGGAGGCTTCCTGGCAGTGAAAAGACCCACTACCTGTGATCTGTGTTGATTCACTTGACCCTCACCCAATGCCATTCTATTGAGAAAAAGCACTAGGGAGCAAGCACCCTTTCCTTTAGGTCTCTTGCTTATCCTCTCACAGCAAATCAGTAAAAGTTTATTACTTTTTAGTTTGGCCCACTGTCCTAACTGCTCACCTCAACACCTGGCAGTTCTGGACGTCTTTCTTCCTCTGAATTTCACATTCACACGTAACAACTCCCTTACATTATTGTTACTTGTGTGTAAAAAAAAAAAAAAAAATATATAGATATAGTCTACATGAATTATGGCACATTTATTGAAGGCAGAAACAGTGTTTATCCCTATGAACCCCACAGCATCCAGCAGACATAACAGTGGACAAATATTTACGGAAAGAATAAATAAATATATAACATTCCAGATATGACCTTCACGTAAAATACGCTTAAAAGGAGAAAAAGGTAAAAGAATATAGCCTGAAATGATAAACAGTCTAAAAGTTTCCAAGTGACCAAATGAAATTTCATAGACTATTTGATCCAGTAGCATTTTACTATTTATCACATACTATCTATGAAATTACCTATCCCAATAATGAGCAAATAAACTGAAAAGAAGAGAGAAATATAATTTTGAAAACAGAACACTTTTTGCTTTCTGGTAAAGATGTTGTATCTTCAAATAAACACATTACTTTCTCGTGCAACTTGAAATAATTCATCTTTCTGGCACTGTCCTGATAATTTCAGCAACGACCTTTACTTTTTCATCTTGATGCTTCTGAGATTGCATAATTATTATAAAATAGAGAAATCTCCAAACTTGCCTTGTGCCAAATACAAATAAAAGCAAAGCTGTAATGTTAGATGTACTGAATATTATACAGTCAACAAGAAAGATGCCAGGTATGAGTAAAAGCAGAAAAAAACTCAGATAAGGAAAAACAATTCAAGAAAGACTTGAAAGCAGAGCTTATTGCTTTGTTATTATTTACAATATAATCCAAACGATATGCACTAAAATGCTGTAAATCCAAAACATAAGCTACTAATACAGTCTACATAGAGCAGTATTTTAGCTTATGAAGGCTGCTGCAGTAGCTTCTGCTTATTGGTTAAAAAAAGAAGAGTTGTTCAGCCAAGCTAGATTATACTAAATCCTAGAACTAGACAGACATAGATCATCACCTTGTGTGTTTCCTCAGTGAAGTAACATGGACACTGTCAGATAAAAATAGGCAACTGTTAAGAAACTGCTTTACAACTTAAATTTAACACTTTATAATAAAATTAGGTCAAAAGCCTCCTGAGGAGTTGTTTTTTTGGTTCCTTGTTGTAACTCACAATGACATTTACCTTCAGTTTGAGCAAAAATTTCCTCTGTTACAAAAAGTCCTCAAGCTGGCCTTTTGAGGTTCATTGGGTATGCTGATCAAGGGCAAGGCTCTGGGGTTGCACATGCTAAAAGCTGACATTTAGTTCAGACTTTCAGGAAAAAGAGGTGATCTTTAAGTCTAAAATTCAGAAATTATAATAGGAATTTCTCTCTTAGCAGCTCATGTTGCTGTATATATAACTTTTAAGAAATTGAAAATGGAAATAAAAATGTGTAAGAGGATTAGGAGCAAAACTAAGAACAAAATAATGAAAAATATTAATAAGGAAATCAACTATTGACAAACAGTATTCTATTATTCACTTTGTTATTACTAATATATCATAAGTCACATTGGTAGAGACTAAAAATTTCAATATAAGTTTCTGTCAAATAAGAACCAATGTACAAGCATTTGTCCATATAACAGATTTAATGAGCTAGCTTACCTGCCCTTGTTCTCTTTTCCTTTAATTTTACTTTCTTGACCTTTTCCTCCAGTAGGATCCCACTCAACACATGTATCTTCAACTTTCAGGTTCAAATGGGAAGATGAGTTATCCAAACTGAAGTTAAGTGCTGTTCAAGATAATATTCCAATATATTTTTAAAATATAGCATATCTCCAACTTTCTTAAGCACAGCTATCATTGCATTATTTTCCTACTCAATTGAGTCAATATTAAACACAGAAAATAAAGTTAAAATTCCTAATCTTAGTATTTAAGGCACTCAATGATTATGCCACAAGTTACAATTCCTACCTTATTTCCCATTCTTCTTTTCTCTATATTTCCTATATGTCAACCAAATACAGTATGCTTGCAACGTCACAGGTGTTTCTGCCATTGCTTCTATTGGAATCTACCTCAGCAAGCATAACCTCAATTTCTTGTTATTGGATTATCAGTTGATTAACAGTTGATTATTATGACTAAATAGAAAGGGGAACTGGCAGAATTAAGAAGGAGAAAGTGATACAGTGTAAAAAAACAATAGAAGCTGGCATACATATTTTCTCTGATGCTCTAATACTTAATAATTTCAAACCTAAACTCTCATTGGTTTCAAATTAAGATAAATGTGGAGAAACTGAAGCCATGACGGTATAAGCAAGGAAACTGACCCCGTTGATAAATGATTTACATGGCAAAGACCAGAGGGAAGAAGGGGCAATTTAAATGAAAACAAAACAAAAAAATATGAAACTAAACTATGCTTTTCTGATTAGTTGGTATTTTGGGGAACTATCTGTACTAGTCACAAGACTTAGACCTGCTAATTTAGGTAATCATTGTAACATGGTATTAGCGTCCCTCTTTGAAGATTGAGGGTAAATCACTAAAATGTATTGATTTACAACTGATCAAAGCACAGTAATGTAATTCCCAACACTTATCTGGCAGGGGAGATACCATGATCACATAAAAAGATTCAATCCATCAACAAGAAATATCCATCCTAAACATATATGCACCCAACACAGGAGCACCAGCATTTGCAAAGCAACTACTAGGTAAACTAAAAAAAAATATTGACTCTAACACTATTATGCTGGGGACTTAAATACCCCACTAGCTAACCAATAAAGAGATCCAGAACCTCAATTTGATGCTCAACCAAAAGACTTAATAGATACCTACAGAATACTCCACCTAACAACCACAAAATATACATTCTATTCATCACCACATGCAATGTACTCCAAGATCAACCACATCCTTCACCACAAATCAAGCATAAACAAATTTCTTAAGATTGAAATACTGCAATGCAACTTCTCAGACCACAGAATAAAAAGAAATATCAACACCAACAAAATTCCCCCCAAACCCACAGAGACACACTAAACAGCATGATACTGAGTCAGCACAGAAATCTAAACAGAAATTAAAAGATTCCTGGAAACTCAAATGAAGAAACATCCTACCAAAACCTCTGGGATGCCATGAAAACAGTCTCTAAGAGGGGAATTTATATCTCTACGAACACACATCAAGAAAATGGAAAGATCACAAGCCTAACAAATCACCTGTGGGAGCTGGAAAGACAAGATCACCAAAACCTTAACTTTAGCAGAGGACTCCAGATCACCAAAGTAAGAGCCCAAATGCAGGATATAGAAGACAAAAATATCATAGAAAAAAAAAAAATCAAACACAAAGCTTTTCTTTGAAAGAACAAACAAGATTGACAGACCCTTGCCAGAATGACCAAGAAAAAGAGAGAAAAAGCCCAAATAAACACAATCAGAAATGCAAAAGATCAAATCACAACTGACCCCAAAGAAATACAAAAGATTATCAGAGATTACTATGCATACCTGTATGGAAACAAACTTGATAATCTAAATGAAATGTAGAACTTTCTGACATCACACAACCTTCCAATGTTGAAACAAGACATTGAGACACTAAATAGACCAATAACAACCCAGGAAATTGACTCTGTCATATGAAAACTATCACAAAAAAAAGTTCTAGACAAGACGGCTTTTCAGCAGAATTCTACAAAATGTGCAAGGAGGAGCTAACACCAGTCATGTTCAAAGTATTCCAGGCAATTGAGAAAAACAGAAATCTCCCCAAATCATTTTACAAAGCTAACATCACATTGATACCCAAACCAGATAAAGATCTAACAAAAAAAGAGAACTACAGGCCATCCCTAATAAACATGGATGTAAAAATTCTCAACATTCTAGCAAACCGGATCCAACAACACATCTCAAAAATCATCCACAATGACCAAGTAGGTTTCATTCTCAGGATGCAGAGCTAGTTCAACATCTGTAAGACCATAAATGTAATTAAATACATCAACAGATGTAAAAATAGGAATCACATGATTATATGATTGATGCAGAAAAAGCTTCTGATAAAATCCAGCATCCCTTCTTGAAAAAACCTCAAACATCTAGGCATAGAAGGAACATAACTCAAAATAGTAAGTGCCATCTACTATAAACCCACAGCAAGCATATTGCTAAACAGACAGAAACTGGAAACATTTCCCCTGAAAACTGGAACAAGACAAGGCTGCCCACTCTCATCCCTCTTGTCCAACACTGTGTTGGAAGTCCTAGCTAGAGCAATTAGATAAGAGAAGGAGATCAGGGGTATCCAACTAGGAAAAGAGTAAGTTAAGTTATCCCTCTTTGCTGACAATATGATCTTATACCTTGAAACCCCAAGAGAATCAGTCAAAAACCTGCTTTCACTGATAAAAGACTTTGGCAAAGTCTCAGGGTACAAAATAAATGTGCAAAAGACATTACATTCTAATGCTGTTTTTAAAAAAGAAGTTCCCTGATATTTGTTATGATGTAGAGAAGGGTCACCAGCCATCTTCGAGTCAAGGGGGAAAAAAGGTACTACTCCAAACCATTTGAGACTAGACTTATCAAGTATCACAGCAAAAACAAACAAAAAGGCATGTATTTCAATCCACAGGGTGTCACCTTTCATATCTCTCTTACCCTCTCTCTTTTTGGACACTATCCCTTTATGGCCGGGGTCCCCAACCCCTGGGTCATGGACCAGCCTGTTAGGAACCTGGCTGCACAGCAGGAGGTGAGTGGCAGGTGAGTCAGTAAAGCTTCATCTGTATTTACAGCTACTCCCCATCACTGGCATTACCACCTGAGTTCTGCCTCCTGTCAGATCAGCAGTGGCATTAGATTCTCATAAAGCACTAACCCTATTGTGAACTGCATGTGCAAGGAATCTAGGTCGCATACTCCTTATGAGATTCTAATGCCTGATAATCTGCAATGGAGCTGAGGCAGTAATGGTGGTGTTGGGGAATGGCTGCAAATACAGCTTAACATTAGCATGTTGGGAGCCGGCCACTGAGGCCCACTGAGCGTTAGGGATCAGGGAGGGCCATGGACCCCGAGACCACTAGGATGTGTTCGGGAGCCGTTGACCCCAATTTCCTCCTCCTTTTACCATGTAGCACAAGTAACCTAAAGGAACTCTGCTGATCTAAGGTGAAGGCTCTGTGACTGTGACAGGCATGGTTCACTCTAGAAACTCGTTGTTCCTGTTTCCCATAAACTGCAGTTTTGGCTTAGGTATTAGATATAATTCAAATTCAGGTCACATTTGGGAGCCTTTTATACGATACAAGCTTCTTTATAAGAT